ACAACTACAACCAAGCTTGGGGCTTAGGGTTTTTTGTTTAGGGTTTGGGTTCCCCGCTTACCAGCAGCTTTCTGGATTATACCTAGAAATAAGAGGGTAAGTACAATTTAAAGCTGTAGGTAGCTGCAGATGCAGGTAGGCTGTACCTGAACTCTCCAATGCAGTTTTGATGTTCTGCAAAATTGGTTTTGGCTTTTTATGCTTCTTGGGATATACCTCTTGTTCGTTGGAGGTCCAGGTAGGGCTTTTGGTTGTCTGAGGGTGGCAGGTCTTCTGCGTGGGGAGGATGGCTTGGAATCCGGGTTCAGGATAAACCTCATTTTTACCATAAGCTCAAGTACCTCCGGCAATTTCCTGGATCTTCTGACACTAGAAAGCACATTCAAAGTTCAACGCAAAGTTTCTGGATTGGTGGTTTAGGCAATCTTCATCAAGTCAATGTTGGCTTGCTCGCTCACATATAGCGCTGCAGCCTGAGCATGACGGGGAACTTCACCTGGATGAGAACGCATCCCCCATGGTCGCACCAGAAACTGGGTTGCTGTTAAGGAACTTAAATTAAGTAACCGTAATGGGTATATATCGTAAATAATAGGGTTTCCCCAATATAGTAACTAAATTTAAGTTCCTTAACAGCAACCCAGGAAAACTGGACCTTGTCTCCTCTGCCTGTTCCTCGGATACTCAGCAACAAGTCGTTGCTTGGAGACAGCCTTACCAAGACCTGGTAGCCATGCCGTGGCAGAACAGCAACGTTCTTTCCGGCATGTCTGCTGGTGACGCTTGCTTCAAGACTGCTTTTAAGGATTTGTCATGAGGCTTGCGGATGTCGCCGTACCAAATTGTGGCCCCGCCAGCCCTGAGTCTATGCGCCTGCAGTGCTTAAGCAATCTTTTTTTTGAATGGAAAGTCCTTATACCGATTCCGATGACTTGGCAGCTTTTTCTGGCAATTGAAAAACGGTTGCGGAAGCAGACCACAAACTTAAGGTTCCCTTCCTGGAATGTCGAGCTATTGTTCCTAAAATCGGACGGAATTGAGCTAACTTAAGAATTCTCTCATGTCCCCGTTTGAAGTTCCTGCAAGCTTGGAGGGGACACAGGCTTCCGCAACAGGGATTGTTACGTACAACACTACAGGAAACTCAAGGTCCGCGCCAAGCAAGAAGCCATTATCTTGGACGATGGTGAACTGAATAGGTCATACATGTAACCCAACTACCAGCAGTTTTATGGGTTGTACCTACTAAGTGGGGGAGTACAGGCTGCAAAGCTGTAGGTAATTTGGGTTACAGGTAAGCACTACCCTTCCAACCCCTTCAGACTCTTAAAACCTAGAAAGCAAGCTGGGGTCAGGACAGAAGAACAGCTAGAAACCTTGAATCTACTCAACCCTTCAAAGAGCACCTCAGCGTACAGGACGTCAATACACGGTTTGGGGGTTAGGGCTCAGGGTACAGCACCTTTCCTCAAGGGCTTTAAGTGCCGTTCATGAGTAATTCTAACGGAGCATAACTGTTGCCATGACCAGCTGTAAACTTTCCGAGTACTTAAAACTCTACTTCTTACTACCCATGTACCTTCTAGTAGATATACTCTCTTACTCTACCTGACGCTCCAAGAAAACCAAGCTTAGCTGTCTATTTGGCACTTATACAAAACAAACGTTCTAAAAACAATGAACAGAACACCCCTAATCCCTATATCCCTTGCAAGCCAGTTTTCATGTCATGTTTGATTCGGGTTTAAATTCTTATTGCCTCAATTCAGATAAACTCTGCATCACAATGCCGCCGCTCTCAACCCTAAACTCTACACAGCCCCAGCTCCTAAACCCTAACGGTCCTAACAGAAAAGCCTAAACAACCCTAGGCCGTAAAAAGCCTAAACTCCAACTCCCAAACTCCAACCCTGCACCCTAAGCCCTTAAGCCAAGGCCCCCGCTCCGATTCCCCAAATCGCCAGTCTTCATCAAGACCTGACCCAAAGCAATCAGCATAGATTGGGCTGGGGTGAAGGGGGGGAGGGCTTAAGGCTATAGCCTAGGGACCATAACCGAGAAGCAAACACAAAATGTGGGCAACGCAATGGAAACTGAGCTTTAAGGAGCTTAGCTTGAGTTAAATGTGAGGGAAGCCATAGCTTTTACCATTTATTCATGTCCATGGTAGCGTGGCTTAACTTTGCTAACAGCAACCCCGTAGATATAAGTCACGGCAGGGTTTGGGTTTCGGGGCTTGGCGTGGTCTGGGGTTGGGGAGCTTCATCTTTGGGTCCGAGAGTTTGGGGTCTCGGGTTAGGCATGCATTGTTTCTGAGAAGGGGTTTTGTACGGGAAGCCAAGGATAGACGGAGATCCTATGAGCTTATTGGAGTTGCCTTAAGGTTTTCATAGATTCATAGTAATCTTAGAACCTGATTAGAATGAACCACCCCCCCAACAAAAAACGTATGAAAAACGCAACGTTGCCTCTATAACAAAAAGTACTCCCAATGAATTGCGGGGTCTCAGGGATCCTATGGCTCTTGCTAAAATCAGCAACATGCAAGGGGACGCAGATCCGTCGGCTTCGGAAGGGCAGCGTCCTCTGCAATAGAGCTCGTTCTTTATGTTAAAAGGCCTGGCCTTGAAAGCCTACTATCTCGGCAGAATGAAAAAACTATTTGAAAAAAGAAACTCAATAAGCAATCTTATAACACACAATCTAAAAATCCGAATGGTCTCACCATGAACCCAGGCAAAAAGCTGTTTACATAATCCCGGAACAATCCCCCCCCATATCTCTTATATTATGTATATTATGGAGGACCGTGGGGTCTGCTGGACTACCACCTTTGGAATTGCATTGCCTATCCTGTTCGACTACACGGTTTAAGAAGAAGTCGATGGCTTTAGTAGGGTGGTATTCCAGATTTCAGAGCTGATAAAGCCTGGCCTTTTTGTTTGAAGCATATCTACGAATATCTACGAGTACTGGGGCCTTGGTTTCACCATGGCCAATAAGCCTTTACATAGTTGACGCACCCCAAATTTGTTATGTTGCTGAGCATCAGAGGTTTTGCTGGACTGACTACCTACCCCCCTTTGAATCTTAATGCTTCGCCTGTCTGAATAAACGGTTGAATACGGAATTGATGGTTTTTGGTGGCATCAAACGCCTCATCAAAACCCTTCCTCGGTTGATTTTTCTGGAGAAACAACCTTACTTTATTGGCACCCTCCCAGATCAAATAGGGGGTCCAGAAAAATTGTCTGAAGACTTCACTTCCACCCTGCGAATCAAAACTCAGCATTGTTCATGTTAGAAAAAGCTAATGCGCATAAGTTCTTCGCTTGTGATGGTTGCCTGAACGGTGGTTGATGCAATACGTACAAGCTCTCAAATACCTTATCCTTCGGAATGATGAAGTAACGCATGTGAAATGCAGAACCCCATGGTGAAAGCACCGCAATAAACTTGTAATGAATCAAGTGTGTGAGTGTCTGAGTTACAGTGCCCCCGCCTGTGCCATAGAACTTCGACAAGGGAACACGGCCAGTGTTGAAGGGGTCCATGGAGACCAGAGATTCCTGCAGAAATAGTTCGTGTATGGTTTGTGGTCTACGTCAGGGTTAATTGATGGTTTGCGGGCAACGGCAGCAAAAACAGTTGTGAGGCCTGTAATGAAGTGTCAAAAGCCATCCCCGCAGGTTCAGATCAGAGTTTGTAGTCCAGACATACTAGCGCTAAGAAAGTCCAAGAACTGCCGCTGGTCATAAAACATCACAATTCAGTGGTTCGTTAAAATACAGAAACAAGAGCTGCGGGAGGGGGCCGAAAGAGGCATGAGGGGACCTCCTCATGAAGACGCTGAAACCTGTTTGGCTGCGACGTCCATACACTAGCCTCCACAGCGTGGTCCTGGTTTCTAAGACATAGCTTTCGAAACAGTTCCTGGCTCCATAGATCATGCCCGCGAAATACATGCAAACGTGGCAAGGCTGAAAGACGAGCCTCAAAGCAAACTGTTTGAAGGGTTGACGGTTGAAGCTCTTGCAACTTGTGCATGCGCAACGCCCCGGATTGAGCTTGCAAACCATGTTGTACAAAGTGGCATGATGGGCAACTGTCCGTGGAACAAAGCGTTCCAGCTTACGACGCACACGACATTTCAGTCGCTGAGCTACATGGGAGGGAGTTCCTCAACACGCTGGGTAACGCTTCGCTGCCCTATCTTGAGTAAATTCAAAATTATCAATGTTGTTCCCATTGTCGAGGTCCTCAAAAGGATGTAATGCTGAGAAAATCCCTCGTGCGCCTCACATATTCTGTACAACTTCACTGACGAAGGAGTTTCATGGAGATGCGCCCTGACTCAGGCAAGGCTGCCCACTCAGCGGGGCAGTATACATGAATGCACTATCAGGAAATGCTCACACACCTTGCTTGACACACAGGACAACTCTGTTGGCAAACCAATGTGTCAAGCTTGCGTGATCTCAAAGCCATTGGCATCCATAGGGCGGCCAGAAAGCAACAAAACGTTCCCAAAAGATGAACCTCTCCGTCTCTGCACAACCCCGAAAAGCATTCAAAGAGGAACCAGTTTGGGAGCAGGCCTTTGATATCACTTCCTCTTCCCCTTGCCCTTGGTCTTGCCCTTGGGGAACAGGTTTCCTTTCCCCTTGGAAGCATCCTGCTCAATGCCTTTGCGAATCACCTCTGGCTGAATGGCTCGAAGAGCGGCCGTCGCAATCTCAGATTCTGGATGTCCTTAGTGGTCTCGGGCCATTAGGACAAACACAAATGCACCTCGGCAGGGTGCAGGAGAGGTTGGTGGAGTTTCTTGAGATTTCTTTCCCAACTAGCAGCTGAACCGTGCGTACTTTTGTCAGAAAGTCTCGGAGTACGCGCGATACCTTGGGAAAGTCCGCACTGGCATTTCGCAGCAGGCCACGCAGCTCTGGCACTAGATCAGGGAAGAGAGGCGACATGACAAGCAGGCCACATAGAGCGCTCTCCTAGGTCGCTTCAGAACGGCTCAGAAAATTCGTCTGTGCCACAATGCCCCTATGCGTTTGGTACAAATCCAACAACCAAATCTTGCAAATATGATCAAACGTCCAGTTGGGAGAACAGCTCCTTCAATTGAGGTTCGCTAAGCCCTCCTTCTCTGATCCAATATGTTGCATCACCCTCGATGTGAGGATAGACCGCTGTCAGCCACAGCTGCGCGGAGCCAACCATGCAAGCATTTGAGCATGGGTCCAAAGCGCTTTGAACATGCACAAGGTTGATGTTGTTCAGCATCTCAGCCCGTTTCAGCCGACGTTCCATCCATGTCAGCCGTGTCCAAAAGAATCGATATGGAAAGTTGCCGGCGCGGAGGAGTCGAATGCAGCCTTTCACATCTAGCGCTGATTTGAGAAGTGCAGCAAGATGCCTGTTCTCCTCTGTCAGCCTGGAGACTGGCAGGCTGTCCACCCGCCACAACGGGCAGGACGGCTGCTTCACGATCAACTGGCAGAGATGTTCGATCATGTGTGCAAACTTTTGTTTGTGCTCGACCGCTGCATGGGCATCAGTCTCATGGCCTGTAGTTGGAAGAGCCATTGCTTGAAAGATGTAGAGCCGTTCCCACCGTGGCGGTGTTTCCTTTTGAAGGCAGGACCGAACTGCGGACAGCACAATTGTGGCTGCCTCTGGAGACGTCAGCGTGCATTTGTTGAAGCCTAAACTTGCCACATTGCAGCACACTTCAAAGAATGAATGTATGGCGGACCCGTCATCATCTTGCACCGCAGTCTTCGAGAGAAGAAGCAAGACTTTCTCGTCGTCCGTGCTCCTGATCTCATGCAGTTCTTGCAGTGCCCGCTGCGTTAGCGACAAGAGCTCACTCCACGTGGTAGTTGCAGCTGCAAGTGGGCACCGCTTTCGTGCAGTTTCTTCCCACTTGCCGCCTTCTGTGGAGTGAGCCAAGCTTGCAATCAAAATGCCTTCCTGTGAGGCATCACATGCAGGCTGCACCAAGTCCGTCACACCATGCTCCAGCTGAAGGATTTGCAGTGCCGGGACCTCAGGAAAGCACAACATTTTCAGGACAAGTGACAAAGTGCCTGGCAGCCACTCCGTGCATACTGCAACATGTGGACGTTTCCGAAACCAGGTCTCTTGTGGGGGGGTTACCAGTAATACTGGAATATATAGAGGGTCCCCTCAGTTCTGGAAATTCCCATGTCTGTTCCGTGCTGCAAGCCAAGGTCTTGGCAACATGGTCCTTGCCCTTTTCCACCTGGCTGCATGTCAGAAAGGACCTGTATCCCCTACATCTTAATAGTCATTACCGCTTAATTAGCTATGGTGATATAAATATATCAGGGCAATTAGGGGTATGCAGGAAAATTGACTCTACAGGATTACCTACACGTTTACTTTCCCCTTATTCGAAAGCATAACCCATAAAATGCAGGTATAATCCAGTACATAATCCCTCGCGGTTTCCATGTCACGTTGCATTCTCCTGTATCTTATACCCTATATAATCCCTGAAATATTATCCCTTTGAAAGCACCATACATTTAACGCCTATATGACCCCCAAAACTGTAGGTAACAAGGGGTACAGGAAAGCCCTGGCTAATTTGCTACAGACTACTAGAATCCACGCCGTTTAGGTTCCTGAACCCTAAACCCCCATCCTGCGGAGTCTCTACCTGCAGTCTGAAAAGCTTCTATTGCCACCACAAAGCTGTTCATATCAACTTCTATGCGCGAGCCCGACATGATCTCAATAAGTGCATACCTCGGAGATTTGAAATGGGATTCGAAGTACCCTATTCTGACATAAAGCGAGCAAGAAATAGAGTTCGCTTGCGGAAAAATGACAAAGGTATGTCCACCGATGAACCTTGCAAATGGGAACAACAAATTGGAAAAACCCTCCACCCACCCACCCACCCACCCGCTCACCCACCCGCCCACCCACCTGGCTCTTGGCAACCTCCAGCGCAGTCTTGCCCTGTTTGTCCTTCACTTCTTTCCAAGAGATGCCGTGTTGGTTGGCGTACTCCTTGGCTGAGTTGCTGTTCTGGAACCTGATTTAGGTTGACATAATTGGTCTACGTAGTAAATAACATGGTTTCACTCATGTAGTAACTTAAATCAAATTCCTTAACAGCAACTCAGTTGGTGTAGGGCTGAGGGTTTCAGGCTCTCAGGCATGCCGGTTTTGGGATATAAATGGAGAATGAAATGGAAAATGAAATCGACATAAAATGGAAACCCTAGGTCCCTTTCAAAGGGTATATAGGGGTAAATAGGGATATTACCAGAAATTGTCCGTGGCCTGGTACGCAGTCGAGAACATGACAGGATAGCAAAATTCCTGCGAGGATTGCTTTGCAGGCTCTTCGAGGGAAGGCTGTGCTGTTAGGGGCCACATTTTAAAGCCTAAACCCTGCGGTCTGGTTTGAAAAAGATTTCCTTCCATACTGATACAGGTATGCAATAAGGAAGGCATCTGAGATTTACAAGCCAGTCCAGAAGGTCAACAGGTAAGAACCCCGCCCTGTCAAACAAAACTACATACACCTCAACTCCAAACAGCGCAAAAATCCGTTTGTGCACACCTCCCCCAAAACAGTTCAACCGCAGAGTCCAGGGAAGATTCCTATGGGCATGTGCGTCCTAATGTTTCTTACAGAGCTATGAGGCCCTTGTAAATGCCAAGACTGGCAGGTCAACCTCTCGGATGGGTTAAGATGGCAGTTTCCTGACATGTGCCCCCTTGTTTCCTGCGTGTTCCGCTACAGGCTTGAGTTAGCTACGTGCTGACAAGCATCAATCAGCGCTTGAAGACATTCCGTGGATCCGCAGTAGGCAGCCTCGTGAAAGGAAATTCCTTCATACTGGTTGAAGACCCGCATCGGCTCTGCGAGGACAAGCCAATCCTGCGCTCTGGTCTGGTCACTGAACCTTGATAGCAAGAGCTTGCAACACTCGCCAAAATCGTTGCGAATGCAATGAAGCAAGACGTTACAACCTGGCAGCCGACACATGTACCGCACGGACCTTACGTCTGACAAGTCTTCGGATTGCAAGTACCACTGGCGAGCCCACTCTTGGAACTGTGGGTTCTGGATAGCTTCTTCAAGCTCGTCTGGCTTGTCTTCTTCAAGAAACTCTACTAGACATTGTCTGGCCAACTCTCTCAACTCATCCATGTTCTGCATGAAGTACGTGCTCACAGCAAAACCCGGAGGTTTGCCATATCCATCCACGGCGTCACCCAGTGAGTCAACAATCACATGCCAAAGCGGCACAGTCGAACGCATGGCTGCGCGCAAGCGGGACTGCACGCTCTGGAGCTCAACAGCAGGAACGTCGTTTGCGGCCGGACTGCGCGACCACATCTCTAGCGCCTGAATCGCGTCTTGTTCAGTCAGTCGCCGCAGGTACATGATTGAAAAAAGACGAGCGTTGCCCTTGCTGCTTGCTTTTGGCTGCTGACAAACAAGTGCAACCTCAGCTGGGCAGGAGAGAACAACATGATCTGCAGTGACCACATGATGATTGGTGAAATCACGCATGAAGTACACCAGTGCCGGAACAATCTTAATCACAAGGTGCCAGCTGTCTCTCTCGAGGCTGCAGTGACAGCGCTCCCAGATCAAAACACAAGTCGGGTGGCGCCATACTTGCGGGAGTCGTTCATCAAACAATCCTGCCGCGCAATGTCTCTGGCGGCACCTTCGCCTGCGTGGGGACGTTAAGGCTGAGGACTCGGGCATGGAGGGAACTAGCATTCAAAGCGCCCCCAACCCCATACGTAAGAAGTCAGCAGTGATTTGTGAGAGTCTTTCAGCGTCCAAGAAAGAATCTACATGATGTGGCAAGGTTTGCCACGCAAACAAAGGCCCTTACATGCTTAGCGAGCCAAGTCGCCCAGGAGATCATGGAAAACGCTGGTGAGGCTGCACACGCTGGAGCTTCCTGCTCCATGATAATCAGTCATCGCGATGGCCAAGATCCGGACCTCAGCTGTTGCATCACGCTGTCTCACGTAGATTATGCTTAGATGCTGAAGCGCTACATCTCTGAAGTAAACTCAATCATTAATCTATTTCTAGCCTCAAACAATGCGGGCTAAGTATGAACAACCATGGCGCCAGTATTGCACTTCCCTTTTTAGCATCCGTGATCGAAAGTGCAAGGGAGTTGACTGAGAAAGGGATGGGCGACACCGTGTCTGACGCAGAACTTGAACATTTTTTGAGGTGACTTTGCAACTGCTTTGAGACTACTATATATGGTGTCACAGCACCATGTCTCTTCGTCTAACTTGAGGACATGAAAAACAAATGCGGCACACATAACAGGGCCGCCCTGAAAGGCATCGTCGGCGGCGTGGGCAACATTTGTGCTGCGTGGTTTCGCGCCGGAGATCCAAGAATCCATGTTGAGCAACTCCAAAATCAGAACAAGAAAGCTCACCAACCGAACCGAGCAGCTGTCCCTGTTTGCTTCTGTTGGCCGCTCAGCTACTGGAGGCTTGAACTTCTCGGCACCAAGGCACGGATTTCACGGATCAGACAGGTCTTATCTGTGGTTTTAAGACCACAGCAGGGTCTAGCAATATGGGGATGTCTCTGAATACACGATCCGTCGAGACAATACTCGTGCCTCTTATGGGGCCCACGCTTTGGGTTTGTACCCTCGCCGTTCTAAGTGAAGGGTAGTTTGACCAGAATGTTACAAATGACACGAAAGATTCAACTGGTCCGTGGAAAGGGGAATCTCCAACCTGTCACTCAAGCAAAACGACAACCTTCGGAATACGAGAAAATTCAGCTACAAGAGCTGGCGTCGAAATTGGCCATTAGCAAGCCAGCCCCCAAAATGCCGTGTTACATTCGGTGCCGCAGGAACAGCAACTTCCACAAATCGCAAGCATGGCCAGCCAGAATCTAAACTGTTACGGTCTCTGTAGGCTTCAAAAAAAGGCAGTTCGCCAGCTAGGCAAAAACAACCTCCTTAGCCCCTTAGCTTTCAACACCTGGCTACGTTCTTTAAGCTCTGTCCATGGCAAAGCAGGGACTACCATCACCATACTGTGTTTAGGGTTTAGGGTTTAGGGTGAATAAATTCCTAGGGGGCCAAGAGAAGACAGACCCCCTAAGAGGGACACTTAGAAGGTACTTTGAAGGAAGCCTAGAGATTATGTAGACTTGGAGGGTCTGTCTTATCTAGGGTCCCCTAGGGATCTTCCTGATCAAACGTCACCTACTCAGCTACTAAGTGACTATAGAGATAAATTCTATACCCTGAGCTGAATTCTGAAGCTCCTGCAACCCAGCGCACTCGGACTGCCAAAAGGAGGCAAATGACCGCGTGATGCTGCCTTGGTAGTCTGGGTTGTTGCTAAAACTTAAGTCAAGTTACGGTCGTAAGGATGCAGCATGAAGCATGTGGTTTCCCAATATGTGGAGTACAGTGAACTAGAAGTCGTTGAGCTCCTAGTAGGACTCAGCCTACTCCAGCACATCCATGAAGATGTGGGTGTCACGAAATGGGGTACAGAAGAATTATTCTGTGCCAGCTAAGGCAACCAGGGATTAAGTAGATAGATATTATGAAGGACATCTTTCAGAATTTCCACGTATGAGTTCTGCAAAAATTCAGTCCCCACGGGCGTAGCGCCCATAATAGCGTCGGGTGCAATATCCAGGCCTCAAGTCATGGGGTCACAGTTGGGTGTTGCAGCTTTCAAACAGACTGAAGAAACTTGAAATACCAGGTGGTAACTTAAAGGCCCCCAAAATAGTTGTTGAATAGGTTCCGTTATCGACCAAGTAGGGGAACTAATAACTGTGCCAAAGTGCCACAAAGACGACCTGGTTTTCCGAGATTTCTGGTCCTGAAGAGCACTTCTAAAACACTTCGACCTGTCAAAAGTCGCTTTTGTAAGCTGCTTCCGATACTCATGCCTTTCCTTTATGGCCTCTCACATGCCAACTCACCAATACTGTTAACTGAGCCCCACATACACTGACGATAATCCCATAACATCCTACGTCATGTGGGGTTTGCCCGAAACGCCGGGGTCTCTTATTTTGGGATTCAGCATTCCGTTGAAGATTCTTTCTTGAAAACTGCAGTTCAGGTTGCATGGATGCTGTGATCTTAGGAGGATCATTCAGGTTTTGTTAGAAGAGCTATGGACTAAATTTCTAGTATATCCTTTTATAGGTCCCCCCCAAAACCATATAGTCCCCTATAGGTCCCCCCCAACCTAAATTTAGTCCGTAGCTCAAATGAGCTATGAAGACGGGTCCCCGCCGGGAGCGCGTCTCAGAAGTCTACAGGCCTTGGAAAGAAATTGGTAGAAACAGTTGACAATCAGTATAGATTTTGTGGACCCCCACCCAGTAATAGTGACTATAAGGCATAATGGGGATTATATTAGGGTCCTCTTACTTTCTTATTGTACCACTATTACAGGGTTGGGGGTCCTCCTAAAGTGTAGACCTCTCTGCGCAGATTGTTCTATCCTAGAACTCATTCCCTCGGGATCCAAACATACAAATAATCCCTACATTGGGCCCCGCAGGATGCAAATATTGCCTACATTGGGCTACTTGGAGCCCTATACACCCCTACAAATTCCTAGCTTCCATTTCATTATCCATCTGCTCTTTCATTTGATTTTCCATTAATTAGGGTAATATATTTCCCCATACCTGAACCCTAATCCCCAAACTCTAAAAACCATTGTATACCCCCACATTTCGGATCCCTGGGGACCTAAACCCTCAACCTTAAACCCTAAACGGTCGATTCAGCAGGGCTGTCGTCCCTGCCACTAATGCTGCGAGGATGCCAGCGATGCTGTGCGCGTCTTGGTAGGAGTACCTGAGTCGTGTTTTTTTGGTGGTTAAACCTAGTAACATAATGTTTAGGGTTTAGGGTTGAACCTGGTAAGATTATACTCCTCATACAAAATACTATACCCCCAAAGGAAGATATAATCTTACTCTATGATGGGTACCATAATATCCCCAAATTGAATACTACTCTCCCCAAAGCTCAAGGTTTGGGGCTAGGGTTTGGGGTTTAGAGTTTACGGCTTGAGGTTTGGTTTAAGGGCTTAGGGAGGGCTCAGGGTTTATTCCGAATCCCTAACCCCTGCATCCTGAACCCTAAGCCCGTCCTGTAATTCCAACTAACACATCAAACTGTAGGCAATTGGGGAGTGTAGGTCTCTTAGTTTACAAATTTAATGAAGGCAACTGCACATTCCTTAGACCAGCATGCTCTACTTGGGGCTGTGTGCTTGGTTCATAGGGCTCACGGTTGGCTTCAAGCAGGTGGCCTTCAGGACTCAAAGTTTTCTTGGCGATTGCTATTGTATTTGGGGGCTTTATGCGGGGTTCTAGGCCTGTAGAATTTTTCGGCTGGTAGGCAAATCAGCTCGCTTCCTTGTTGGCCTAAACCCTTAACCAGAAGCCTGCACACAAAAACCCTCATATAAATCCTCTCGATATGCCTTGTTTCTTGTAGTTTAGGGTTTAGGGAATATATATCAGACACGGCATTCGGGAGCCTCAGAATTCCTCACTGGCACTACGCGTGACTCCTCTGAGATGGGGGGCTGCAGGGTCAAAAAGGCTCTGTGGTTTTCTCTGTCTAGCCTTGAGGGTTTAGTGCTTTTGCATGAGCAGCTCTTTGAACTGCGATTCGCGTTTAGGCCTGTTATCAATTGAGCATGTTTCATGTTTGCTGGCATTCGTGTCAAAGAAGAAGAACAATAGCAGACTGGGACTTGGTGACTCAGTAGCCATATCATGCTATAAAGAAGCCCACAACCCAGAACTGGTAAAAAGGGCGCAGGGACTTGAGCCAGAAACCCAAACCCTAAAACCTATGAAGCACAACCCTAAACCCTCAAACACGAGAGGCTGACATCCCGACAGGTCCCCGTATCACCTATGTTCCCTAGATCCTTTTGGCCTCTAAGGACCCCCACTACCTGGTACCTCACTACCCATGTAGACTCAAATAAAGAAGGACTATTGCCTCAGTAGTGGGGTACCAGGTAGTGGGGGCCCAGGAGTCTCCTAGGATTTATAACCCTAAACCCTATAGATGCACTTTAAAAACTCTACACCCTAAACCCTATAGATGCACTTTAAAAACTCTACACCCTAAACCCTATAGATGCACTTTAAAAACTCTACACCCTAAACCCTAAAGAGCCCTAATTTCTGGTCTTCTGTCCACGCCTCGTCTCAAAGGCTTTTCCGGAGAGCTGGGACGACTTCTGCTGCGAGTAGGTCAGCGCCCTGAACAGAACTCTTCCCCTAGGACCATATCGGGGGTATATAGGTTTAGGGGTTAGGGTTTAGGGTTTAGGGTTTAGGGTATAGTGTGTANNAAGAGAATGGAAACTACTATTAGATTA